GGGGTTAGGGATCGACCCAATTGTGTCTCTCCAAGCTCAGGTAGATGATAATTATGATGATGATGATGATGATGTGCTGTCTCCCCTGTAAGACACTCATGCCCAGGCATGCTTTTGTATATTTTATAACCGAGCTAGTGAGGGCCTGCTCTGCTTCAGCGGTGGGTAACCTCTCCCAGATGATGGCTTCCATGCATTTAGTTTGGCAACTCTGGTCCAGCTCAACCCCCAATTCTGGGACCTAGTCCACCCCATTTCTGGGACCCGGGCCACCCCATTTCTAGGACCCGGGGCACCCCATTTCTGGGACCTGAGCCACCCCATTTCTGGGACAGGTGCCCCGACAAACTAAATGATCTGTGCAAGCCAAGCAAGTCTCACGACTGTTGCTCGTTGCTTCTAACCGAAAGCACAAGAGACAGTCAAGGAGAAAGCCGTAATATTCTCAGTGTATCATGACTGAATGTGTGATTAGAAAGCTAATCCAGTTTTGTAATTTAATACAAGTATGTAGTAAAATCATTCCATGTAAAACAATTCCCGTATTCACTCAAGTGACTGTTGTCTTTTGTCAAAGTCTTCGTCACACAACGTTGCTGGTCTGTGACAGTAGCAAGTAAAACAAAGTTCTAGGAATGAGTGCATGAGAGAAAATGGTAGAGAAAGGGCAGCAAGAGCATGCACATAGCAAGTCCAGGGAAGGGGGGGGGGAGGCTACGGGCAGGCTACGGGGCAGGGAGGCGGGCCCATGAGACGTCGCCAGGGCCGACGGGTTGGCAGTCTAGGTCGACTGCTTTGCGCCCATCGCCCGCCACCAGGCACACTTCTCTCATGAGAGTGAGATCGATGGTGTCCGGATGTACGCCGTGCATCAGGACTGTCATTGTCTCGATCGCCCTGCTGTAGTGCAATGCTCTCTTCACTAGTCTAACCTCTTCGGGTAGGATAGCCGGTACCGCTACATAGACAAGGCTTGACGAGGCCGCGATGGCGTTAAGCAGAGGAGGCAGAATGTCATGCCTGCTGAACAGGTCATCAATGTCCAGTGTTTCCAGCGTCTGGCTGTAGGCTATCAATTCGGATAGATACCTGACTATTGTAGATGTACCAGTCTTGCTTGCCAGAGCATCTACATGAAGACTACGAACAGCTTGGCTTGTCACCAATGCCCAGAATAGCGTCTGTATGCAAGAAGGCATTGCGAAATCAAGCGTGTCAGTCAGGGAAATCACAAGGCCGACTTTGCCGCAAGAACGGCCGATGGACTCGGTGACAAACCGCACCGATAGCTCCGTCGGTCGCCGATTGATGCAGAAGTTATCGGCCATCAGCTCGTACTCCGACACGGCCTCACGACGAAACACCCATCGTAGGTGTCCGACATGTGCCCAAGGGCTTAGAGACTCCAAGTTGTCAAAGATGGCGAGCATGTAGTTGGTGTACTGCACTTCGGCTTCGTTCAGCGAACCCTGAGTGTACAGCGCAAACTCAAACAGACTCTCATGGCGTGCCGCGTTCTGTTGCTGCTGCTGGTGCTGTCGCCTCTGTTGGAATTCGTAGAGCAGCTGATCATAGAGTTGTTGTGAGGGGCTTGGCTCATGATGTATAAGACTAGGTTCTCTCTGTGGCCCTCGGTAAGCAGCGGGGTCACCGTAGAGACCGGCAAAGATGGTCAAGGAGCGTAGCTTGGATGCCTGCACCATCAAGCTTGCTGCCTCAACGCAGGGCAGACCGCAGATGAGCAGATCGCGACTGCGAGCAACACTACAGGATGTGTCCAGGGTCGACAGTGCCCACAGGACAGTCTGCAGAGTGTTGCGATCACTACCATCCACAACTAGGCATGTCTTTGCCACTGCTGGATTACACTCCACTGCACCATTAACGCCGTCTGAAAGCCAGGTCTGTACGGGTGACTGCAACGCAAGACATGGCCTAGGCAAGCCCGTCTCCACGGGAACGGACGGTACACACTGACAGGCGAGGACCAGGCTCGCCGCATCTAAACCGTTCGGCCGGCCGAACACACACGTCCACGCTGCACAGACACCGCTGCGAGCAATATAGGCTGCCTGCTCGCAATACATTGTTGTGGCCATCACCAGGCAAAACCCGCTGCACGCCGCTTGCAAAACCCGCTGCACGCCGCTTCGAAATCATACGTAGGGCGTGTAGGCATGCAGGTACTACCGCTGTGGGTGGGGGTGTTTGCACAATACCGTTGGGTGCACCACTGTTTGTTCACATCACGCAGTAGTTGTCGTAACGAATGGTCATCGTCAGGCTCATCATCACGCGGCGGACCGTATGAATGGGAATGTATGCCCTGAGCTCCATCCACTTTCGGGGATCGAAACAAGGTGGTATGGCGAGAGTCTTGTTGGCTCGGCAAGCCTGAAGAGAAGGCCGATTTGCTTATATCCGCGTGCTCTTCATCAAGATCAGCTGTCCACCACTTCAAGACGTCATTCCCTTCTCGCTCTTCGCCGCCGACGAGTGGTCGACTGCAAGATGGCTCGCTATCCTGCCGCCGCCGACTCTGGTGTGTGGGTCGTCTGTTTGCACTGCAGCTTGCTCTGCACCAGGATGAGTGATGGTGATTAGCAGGTGGGAACGTGATGCACAGGACACAGCTGTTGGTACTGCTGCTAGGACGTGAGAGTGGCGGAGTGGATTCCGGACATTGAGCTGAAGTGGTATAATGACTGTGAGGCGGTGTGGAGCAATGCAGATGTGGTGACGTAGAGTGTTGGGTCTCAGGCAGACTAGGCAGCTCAGCGACAGACTTATCAGAGCGGTGATCCTCACGAGTGGCTTGTGGAGTGTGGCCAATAGCAGGCATGCTCATTGCTCGCAAGTGAGGCCGAGCTGCCACCGTTGCAGGGTTGCCCGAATCCACGCTTCCACGTTGTCGTGGTGATGTAGTCGTGGCAACGTTGACACCGGGAATGACAACACTGGCAGCCCTTGACTGTGCTGATAATGGCGGCGGTGTGACACGAGTGTGCCGTGGTGTTGACTGCTGACGCGTGTCAACGCTGTTTGATGCACGGTGATCGATCATGGACGGACCAGTATCACTTCTCTTGCTACGCATTGGTGATACTCTGAGAGCTGATGCTACGGAACCATCTTGATCGGGTGTGGGCTTCTCATGGCTGTCTGGGTGTGATGATGGCACCCCCAGGCTCTGGGTCTTTCGTACGGGTGTGCCCGAGTGCGTGCTGGCGCGACCGGTAGAGTCTGTAACACGGCGGTAGTCTTCCGTGTGGCCAGTGCGGGATGGGAACATGCTGGGAGTGCTCGAAGCACTGCGGTGCCTGTCTGATGATGTCTGATGACTTGAAGCACTGGTGATGACGCCCGCGTGCGATTGCGTAACGGCACGAGTTTCTGATTCCGGACGGGACTGGCGCAGTGCAGACGCAAGCAGTATAGGAGTCCGATGCTGGTGAACAGTATCACCATCAGCAGCACCAACATCACCAGTTCCAACACAAGCAGCACCAGCGATGTTGTTACCAGCATTACCAGAATGAGGGCTCCTAGTAAAAACACCACCAACAGCAGCGTCACTTTCAGCAGCACTATAACCAGCACTATAACCAGTAATATCAGTAGCAATATTGTCAGCAGTATCAGGCTCAGCAGCACTAGTAGTAGCTCCTTCACCAACACGGGTATCTTTGCTAGAAACACCACCAAGCTCTTCACAGTCAGCATACTCGGCCACAAACGAGCGCTGCATCGACTCTGTAGTGCTAAGCTGCCGGTGTCGCCGCTGCTGCTGCTGCTGCTGCTGCTGGTGGGGCAAACGCACAATCGCCACCCTACGCCCGTCTGCCGAACGCAGCGATGCCGCATAGGCCTCTTGCTCCTGTAGTGTCAGCTGACGTTCTCTACCCTGGGCCAGCTTGCGTGCGTGCTCGTCATTGTGTGTGTTAGGCATGCTGAGCAGGGCCGCTCGTCGACTGGCACCATTGCCATTGTCCCCATTGTCCGGATATGCTGCACTGTGCAGGTCTACCGGACGGACTCCATGCCCGCGTGTCGGTGGCGACTCTGGTCGCTGCTCTAAGCGCCGGTATCGCTGCGGAAACGGGAGGCAGCGAAACGGTGCCAGTCCTTGAGCCCGCAGTACGATACACTCCGCTCTTTCCTTGGTGCTCGGCCCAACTCCCATAGTGTCTGATCAGCGCTACTTGCAAACCCGAAGAAACACAAGGGAACGAACGCGAATGAAGAGCAGGCACAAAACAATTCGCTATTGAGGAGAGAAGTCAGAGTTGGTTAGGTCAGAGTGGAGAATTCCATTGTTCTCTCATGCTAGCAATGTTCAACTAAACCAGACATGATGATTGAGACAACACACTTAACTCAACGTGGGGTGATGCACTTTCCACTCCTCACACTGCACAGCATCAGTGACCGAATATCTTGCCTAGCAGTGTGCATTGTCACCAGAGTGCTGTGCAGTGCATGCTTGTGAAATGTACAGTCTAGGGTACAGTTTAGGTTGATGAAACTAGCCCCATGAATATAGTAGCGCTGTGCTTCAGAGCACAGTCCAGCTTTTCCAGTGCAAGGGCTGTGCAGAACTCAGTGCTATCTGACTCCAGGGTGAGAAATCCACACACTAACACAATACACACAGCGTGCATGTGGTAGTGGTAGGGCTAGCACTGTACTGATCAGTTTAGATGATCACGGGTAGGCACTACCCCCAGAGGCGGGAGAACAGACTCACATTTCCCTCAGGCGTGACTCATCTCACAACATACTGGCTCTACGCACAAAGAGACTGCACTGTGTATGTACTACGTATGCACTGTGTACGCACTGTATCAGAGTGGTTGCTTTAGCAGGTTTTACTGTACACACTAGTAATGAACCATTGTTCTATGAGCTTTGCCTGATTTGAAACCCAACCTGGAAAAGAGTTTTAAGATGAATGCACGAACAAACGCAACTCTGAAACTGGCCAAACCAGCCACGCTTACCAGGTCTGACTTGTTCTGTATACCCTGTCCCAATCAGGTTGATGAAGATTGGTTCCTGTGGGGAAACACACAAACACCATAGCACATTATAAAAGAATGCGAGGTCCTAGCCGTGTGAGGACTACCACATTATGCCATGTAAAGGCACACACACACACATGCATGCGCGCACACGCACCCCCCCCCCCCCCCCCCCCCACACACACACAGCGCACACACAGCGCACACACACACACACACACACACACACACACACACACACACACACACACACACACACACACACACACACAGCGCACACACAGCGCACACACAGCGCACACACAGCGCACACACAGCGCACACACAGCGCACACACAGCGCACACACAGCGCACACACAGCGCACACACAGCGCACACACAGCGCACACACAGCGCACACACAGCGCACACACAGCGCACACACAGCGCACACACAGCGCACACACAGCGCACACACAGCGCACACACAGCGCACACACAGCGCACACACAGCGCACACACAGCGCACACACAGCGCACACACAGCGCACACACAGCGCACACACAGCGCACACACAGCGCACACACAGCGCACACACAGCGCACACACAGCGCACACACAGCGCACACACAGCGCACACACAGCGCACACACAGCGCACACACAGCGCACACACAGCGCACACACAGCGCACACACAGCGCACACACAGCGCACACACAGCGCACACACAGCGCACACACAGCGCACACACAGCGCACACACAGCGCACACACAGCGCACACACAGCGCACACACAGCGCACACACAGCGCACACACAGCGCACACACAGCGCACACACAGCGCACACACAGCGCACACACAGCGCACACACAGCGCACACACAGCGCACACACAGCGCACACACAGCGCACACACAGCGCACACACAGCGCACACACAGCGCACACACAGCGCACACACAGCGCACACACAGCGCACACACAGCGCACACACAGCGCACACACAGCGCACACACAGCGCACACACAGCGCACACACAGCGCACACACAGCGCACACACAGCGCACACACAGCGCACACACAGCGCACACACAGCGCACACACAGCGCACACACAGCGCACACACAGCGCACACACAGCGCACACACAGCGCACACACAGCGCACACACAGCGCACACACAGCGCACACACAGCGCACACACAGCGCACACACAGCGCACACACAGCGCACACACAGCGCACACACAGCGCACACACAGCGCACACACAGCGCACACACAGCGCACACACAGCGCACACACAGCGCACACACAGCGCACACACAGCGCACACACAGCGCACACACAGCGCACACACAGCGCACACACAGCGCACACACAGCGCACACACAGCGCACACACAGCGCACACACAGCGCACACACAGCGCACACACAGCGCACACACAGCGCACACACAGCGCACACACAGCGCACACACAGCGCACACACAGCGCACACACAGCGCACACACAGCGCACACACAGCGCACACACAGCGCACACACAGCGCACACACAGCGCACACACAGCGCACACACAGCGCACACACAGCGCACACACAGCGCACACACAGCGCACACACAGCGCACACACAGCGCACACACAGCGCACACACAGCGCACACACAGCGCACACACAGCGCACACACAGCGCACACACAGCGCACACACAGCGCACACACAGCGCACACACAGCGCACACACAGCGCACACACAGCGCACACACAGCGCACACACAGCGCACACACAGCGCACACACAGCGCACACACAGCGCACACACAGCGCACACACAGCGCACACACAGCGCACACACAGCGCACACACAGCGCACACACAGCGCACACACAGCGCACACACAGCGCACACACAGCGCACACACAGCGCACACACAGCGCACACACAGCGCACACACAGCGCACACACAGCGCACACACAGCGCACACACAGCGCACACACAGCGCACACACAGCGCACACACAGCGCACACACAGCGCACACACAGCGCACACACAGCGCACACACAGCGCACACACAGCGCACACACAGCGCACACACAGCGCACACACAGCGCACACACAGCGCACACACAGCGCACACACAGCGCACACACAGCGCACACACAGCGCACACACAGCGCACACACAGCGCACACACAGCGCACACACAGCGCACACACAGCGCACACACAGCGCACACACAGCGCACACACAGCGCACACACAGCGCACACACAGCGCACACACAGCGCACACACAGCGCACACACAGCGCACACACAGCGCACACACAGCGCACACACAGCGCACACACAGCGCACACACAGCGCACACACAGCGCACACACAGCGCACACACAGCGCACACACAGCGCACACACAGCGCACACACAGCGCACACACAGCGCACACACAGCGCACACACAGCGCACACACAGCGCACACACAGCGCACACACAGCGCACACACAGCGCACACACAGCGCACACACAGCGCACACACAGCGCACACACAGCGCACACACAGCGCACACACAGCGCACACACAGCGCACACACAGCGCACACACAGCGCACACACAGCGCACACACAGCGCACACACAGCGCACACACAGCGCACACACAGCGCACACACAGCGCACACACAGCGCACACACAGCGCACACACAGCGCACACACAGCGCACACACAGCGCACACACAGCGCACACACAGCGCACACACAGCGCACACACAGCGCACACACAGCGCACACACAGCGCACACACAGCGCACACACAGCGCACACACAGCGCACACACAGCGCACACACAGCGCACACACAGCGCACACACAGCGCACACACAGCGCACACACAGCGCACACACAGCGCACACACAGCGCACACACAGCGCACACACAGCGCACACACAGCGCACACACAGCGCACACACAGCGCACACACAGCGCACACACAGCGCACACACAGCGCACACACAGCGCACACACAGCGCACACACAGCGCACACACAGCGCACACACAGCGCACACACAGCGCACACACAGCGCACACACAGCGCACACACAGCGCACACACAGCGCACACACAGCGCACACACAGCGCACACACAGCGCACACACAGCGCACACACAGCGCACACACAGCGCACACACAGCGCACACACAGCGCACACACAGCGCACACACAGCGCACACACAGCGCACACACAGCGCACACACAGCGCACACACAGCGCACACACAGCGCACACACAGCGCACACACAGCGCACACACAGCGCACACACACACACACACAGCGCACACACACACACACACACACACACACACACACACACACACACACACACACACACACACACACACACACACACACACACACACACACACACACACACACACACACACACACACACACACACACACACACACACACACACACACACACACACACACACACACACACACACACACACACACACACACACACACACACACACACACACACACACACACACACACACACACACACACACACACACACACACACACACACACACACACACACACACACACACACACACACACACACACACACACACACACACACACACACACACACACACACACACACACACACACACACACACACACACACACACACACACACACACACACACACACACACACACACACACACACACACACACACACACACACACACACACACACACACACACACACACACACACACACACACACACACACACACACACACACACACACACACACACACACACACACACACACACACACACACACACACACACACACACACACACACACACACACACACACACACACACACACACACACACACACACACACACACACACACACACACACACACACACACACACACACACACACACACACACACACACACACACACACACACACACACACACACACACACACACACACACACACACACACACACACACACACACACACACACACACACACACACACACACACACACACACACACACACACACACACACACACACACACACACACACACACACACACACACACACACACACACACACACACACACACACACACACACACACACACACACACACACACACACACACACACACACACACACACACACACACACACACACACACACACACACACACACACACACACACACCACACACACACACACACACACACACACACACACACACACACACACACACACACACACACACACACACACACACACACACACACACACACACACACACACACACACACACACACACACACACACACACACACACACACACACACACACACACACACACACACACACACACACACACACACACACACACACACACACACACACACACACACACACACACACACACACACACACACACACACACACACACACACACACACACACACACACACACACACACACACACACACACACACACACACACACACACACACACACACACACACACACACACACACACACACACACACACACACACACACACACACACACACACACACACACACACACACACACACACACACACACACACACACACACACACACACACACACACACACACACACACACACACACACACACACACACACACACACACACACACACACACACACACACACACACACACACACACACACACACACACACACACACACACACACACACACACACACACACACACACACACACACACACACACACACACACACACACACACACACACACACACACACACACACACACACACACACACACACACACACACACACACACACACACACACACACACACACACACACACACACACACACACACACACACACACACACACACACACACACACACACACACACACACACACACACACACACACACACACACACACACACACACACACACACACACACACACACACACACACACACACACACACACACACACACACACACACACACACACACACACACACACACACACACACACACACACACACACACACACACACACACACACACACACACACACACACACACACACACACACACACACACACACACACACACACACACACACACACACACACACACACACACACACCTCAGACCTCAGACATGCCCATCGCGGAAGCGATGATAGCGAACAGCTATGTTAGACATAGCAACTTGTGCTGGGATTACACCGTTCAACAGCTTGCAAGGCTGATGAATTGACCGCCACTATTTTTAGCCTGGTATCCACCACACAGCTGTTTGAAGTGACTTTTTCTGGCCGGTGAATCCCTATTTTTCATTTTTTCCATTTTTTCTTTTTTTTCTTTTTTTTTCTACACACACCCCACACCACATACTCCGGCATACACTGGCTGTTGGTAACCACCCAGGAGAATGAAAGAAAAGTCAGGAAGAGTCCGAGAAAGAGAAGAAAGACGTGTGCGACCATAATCGTCGGGAATTGAACCCGCAACCTCTCGATTGGAAATCGACTGCACATACCACTGCACCATATGGGACACACACACACACACACACACACACACACACACACACACACACACACAAACACACACACACACTCTCTCTATCCCCGCTCTCTCTCTCTCTCTCTCTCTCTCTCTCTCTCTCTCTCTCTCTCTCACACTAACTCTCTCTCTCTCACTCTCTCTCTCTCTCTCTCTCTCTCTCTCTCTCTCTCTCTCTCTCTCTCTCTCTCTCTCTCGCTCTGTCTCCCCCAACCACTCTTGGTGCTCCTAGGTGGCCATGAAGTCGAGACCCTAGGTCGGCGGAGCTCCCTTAACCTCACCACCAATGCCACGATTCAGGTTGTGCGCGCTTCCCCTAGCTGCATCTCATGCTTGGCATTTAAGTGGTCTTTGTAAAACACACACACACACACACACACACACACACACACACACACACACACACACACACACACACACACAAACACACACACACACCTTCCTTCCTTCCTTCCTTCGCCCACTGCCACGATTGGCTATGTGTCCCCAAACGGGGTGACTTGAAGGAGTGCTGTCTCCGGGACGCGGCATGAGGCCCTACGAGTCCGGCTGTTTCACTGTTTGTTTTTTGCTTTTGCGGAGCGACGGGAGGTGCAACTATGTCTAGCGATGTCTTGAGGACGGCTGAAACGGCGTGTGTAGACCATACACAGGAGTGGTTTCACGGCAGGTTGTACACGAGAGCATACCACACTGTAGACTCCATCCTGACACCTGGTTCTCCACTCAGACCTATCATCTGCTGTTTCAAGCCACTCATTCATGCCAATGGACACCGCCGTCAGGTCATGTTTGATTGGGTCTTTCCACCTCTTCCGGGGGCCATGTGGAGGTCGTTTAGACGGCAAGGCACCAAAAAGCAATTGGCGGGGAATACGGTCATCCATGCGAGCCACACACACACACACACACAAACACACACACACACACACACACACACCTTGACCTGACCTTTGACGCCCATCGCCAGAGGCGATGATAGCAATGCTACGGCAGAAGCCATAGCAACTTGTGCTGGGATTACACCATTCAACAGCTTGCAAGGCTGAAGAATTGACCGTCACTATTCAGCCTGGTCTACACCATACAGCTATTTGGAGTGACATTTTCTGGCCAGTGAATCCCTATTTTTGGTCTTTTCATTTTTTTTCCCCGCACACACATCACACCACATACTCCGGCATGCACTGGCTGTTGGTAACCACCCAGGAGAATGAAAGGAAAGTCAGGAAGAGTCTGAGAAAGAGAAGAAAGACGTGTGTGACCATAATCGTCGGGAATCGAACCCGCAATCTATTGATTGGAAATCGCTGCACATACCACTGCACCATATGGGACACACACACACACACACACACACACACACACACACACACACACACACACACACACACACACACACACACACACACACAGTAACGTACCTGATGATGTACCATACAGGTAAGAAGGCGACTAAAGCAGAACGCTTTGCTTGGCCGGAACACAACTTGGACAATAGTCTGCGAATGGCCATCAACCACACCTCGTTGCGGGATAACTTGGAATATTTCAGCACACGGTGGAGTGAACTGTGGGTATAGCATAACAAAACACATCACACAGGGATGAGGGCTGCAATGTCTGCTTTCTGGAGCCAGCCACTGGCTATATTTCTCGATTTAGTGAGCACATTGATGAATGCCATTGGTGTCCGGATAACAGTTTGATACCGTATTTCCCCGATTATAAGTCGCACTCGATTATAAGTCGCACCCCCACTTTCACCCGTTTGAGCCATATTTTTTGACAGATTGACTTCAGTAGTAAGTCATGCTCAATTATAAGTCGCACCTCCTTTCTTACTCTTGATGTTGTGGGTAAAAAGGTGCGACCTATATTCCGGGAAATACGGTAAGTCCGTAACCCACTAATGAGTACCGCTGCACGCAAAAATGTTCACACTGGGAAACCGTGCATGGAAACCATATCAAGTATCTGAACTGACAGCCGCACTACAGCAGCTTCTCAGGAACATGTCACGACAGTGCAGTTTCAGCCGTGTGCTGTTCTCTGGTCGTGGCTCGAGAACACGGAATACACACGGAAGAAAACGGCTCTCCTCCAGGCTCCGAAACATTACACATGAACGGATGAACGTATAGTGACAGAGTGCTTGATGGATGGCCAAGGCGTGATGAACAGAGGGACAGCAGGAGGATAGGTACTGAATAGATGTCGATAGCATCAGCGGTCAACCTTTCAACCGGTAACATACAGTACGCTACTGACAAATACTGTACAACGGGAAAGTTTAACGACCAAAAAAATTAACGTTTTTTGTAATTTTGGCATGATTGCGTACAGAAATTTTAACGGTGGCTACCTGACCACACATCTGTATGCGAATCTTTACACAGACATCTCAAACCGGTTTCGCGATAACGTTTCTTCAAACAACTAAAATAATTTGTCATTGAAATGTTAGACTTTGTGACTCGTTAGACTTTCCGGTTTTACAGTATTCCGCACTCAGTAATCATAAATAACCCATGTACATTAGTCACCCATGTACATTAGTCACCCATGTACATTAGTCACCCATGTACATTAGTCACCCATGTACATTAGTCACCCATGTACATTAGTCACCCATGTACATTAGTCACCCATGTACATTAGTCACCCATGTACATTAGTCACCCATGTACATTAGTCACCCATGTACATTAGTCACCCATTGATACTGTGTCATTTACAGCATTCCACACATTCATCATTATCACTGGCCACAATGATAAACAGATATTAAACTCAAGACAGCTGACCTCAAAAATCCCCGGTGCTGAGGATGTGTTGCGCAATGTGAAGGTTTTGATCAGCTGCTGCCCAACAGGCTGGCAGGGGAAGGCAACGTGGCTGACGGATGGCTGGACTTTGGGACCTTGTCAGGTTTGTTGAAGGCAACGGTCAAGTGTGGCATGGCGTGGCATGACAAGGCACGTTGCAGGTGAGAAAGAGAGAGAGAGAGAGATTGTATGTGTGTGTGTGAGAGAGAGTGAGAGAGAGAGAGAAAGAGAGAGAGAGAGAGAGAGAGATGTGGAAAAGACAGAGACACAATGGCAAATTGATAAGGAAAAAACTCAAATAAAAGAGATAAAATGGTTCATGGCTCAAGCCACGCATTTGCAAGGTCCACCATGCCCCTTCAGACTCGACACAGTGCCTTTGTAGCCTCCCCACCATGCACTGCCAAATGTATCCGAAGAGTACTCCCTAGTACAAAAATGATTTCGCAACGCACACCACACATAGCACTTCAACAGCAATTGGCCATGACCCAAGCATCTAATGTTGGAGAGTGTGATCGCTCAGAGCTAGATGAACAGGATGAGTTCCATCTGGCTGCTCTCACATGTGTGTGTGTGTGTGTGTGTGTGTGTGTGTGTGTAAAAATTTCGCGGAGAGGAAGCAGAGTTGTTAGCTCCTGGTTTTCTCTTTGTTGGCCTCCTCCACGGGGCGGCCTTGGCCTTCTGGTCAGGGTCGTCCCTGGGTATTGACTGGCAGTTGGCTTTTCATGCCTTGCAGCCGGTTTCGCTCGCGCGGAAGGACATTCAGTGAGCTGACGACCAGGGCGGGTAATTTGTTGCCGTCACCATCTTCTTGCGTCCTTTCCGCATCCTCCGCAGTGGCGTGGCGAGCCCTCGGATCAATCCCCAGCCTGTAACAATGCAGTGGCGTTCGGCAAAACAAGTGGATTCCTGGATGATAAAGGATACAGGTCACACTCGCAACAATTTATTCCTGCGCGGTGATAGCTGGAATTGTGAATTTGTCGTGTTGTTTGGACCTGAGTGGCCAGTCGTCGTGCGGCGATGGTGTAGTGCTGTTAGCTTGCTGCGCATACTCCTCGTCGTTTCGTGAAAGTACGTCTTGTGGAGCCCTTGTGGGACGTTCGGTGCCCACCCTCCAGCTCAAGATTGTGCTTTCCTGGTGCATGAAGGCCGAAGCAGTACGCGTACAGACGTTATTGTTGAACAGAACATCATGTTCACATTAATTTTGTTCCTTTTTCAGTCGTTGCATGTTATACTTATAGTGGACCTGCAGCAGACTGTTCATCTGGTTTGTGATATTTCCTTCCTCTGTTTGTGGGTCCCTTTCCATCAATATGGCAGCTTGTTTTGATTTCCTTTTCTTTAATTCATTTTGCTGTACTTCCTGTTTTGTTTGCGCCACTGCTCCTCACCTTGCGCTCAGTTCTCTGAGTGGAGGGCGGCGTGACCCCAAGGGGTAGCTGATTGATAGTAGTAGTAGTAGTGTGTGTGTGTGTGTGTGTGTGTGTGTGTGTGTGTGTGTGTGTGTGTGTGTGTGTGTGTGTGTGTGTGCACGTGTGCATGTGTGTGTGCGTGTGTGTGTGCATGTGCATGTGTTTACCACAATCATAACCTTTACGGCAGTGGGTCAACAGGACAGGACAGGACAGGTGTGTGTGTGTATGCCTATGTTACTGTGAGAACCAGGGGGACTAGTCACTAGCTACCTTACCTATAGCATTGACTGTACACTGTATTCTCTGCTGTTCTGTATGACCCACAGTGTTCAGGATCAGTGTGTGACAGCCGGTCATACCCACACGCTGTGGTCGACATTGCACCTGTATACACACACACACACATACACACACACACACACACACACACACACACGCACACATACACACACACACACCACACAAACACACACACACACACACACACACACACACACACACACACCAAGTTCACTCTCGTCGTGGCAAGTTGAAATTCCATGGACATTCACCTGCTCATATTATTCTTGCACTCACTTTTCCAGTCCCTGACTACAGGATTATCGCATGAAACCAGGACTACTGTAGTGTCTCAGACTAACACTTGCCTCGTTCTTGAAGTACTCTTGCATTGGACAGGCGTGTATTCAAGCAGCATCTCAAGCAGCATCTCAAGAAACATCTCGAGCCACATCTCAGGCAAGATCTCGAGCAAGATCATGTTGGTAAGATTATGCCTGTCGCGGGTTGTCCACACAAGCCTACTTCCATTGGCAGATTGGTCACTTTCAACGTCAGAGTTTTATTCAAGCCATGCTTTCAGCCACGGCAATACGTGTACAATGTGTCCTAGTCAAACGCCTTACCGGTATTCTGATGCTTGTCATTGCCTCTACGCTGCCACTGACTAGAGAGGTAGGAACGTTGAACACACTAGCGCCATCACAGCTCTTGCCATCTGACCAAGCCAGCTGGTACGATGTCAAGACCTGCAGACGTACACAAGCACACAAGCACGCGTGCACACACACCCACACACACACACACACACACACGCGCGCGCGCGCGCGCGCGCACGCACGCACGCGCACGCACACACACGCACACACACGCACACACGCACACACACATGTAAGCACAGGGTCTGCTAAAGTGCAAGCCAAGGCGGTTGTTACCTGTGCCATGAGATTAGATAGGGAGAAGAGCAGATGTGTGTGTGTGTGGGGGGGGGGGGGGGTGTACATTGGGATGCTCTGCAGCTTTCTACATATACCTCACTTCGCAAGCAAGGCGGAACAAAATGTTATTTCAACTCCGAGTTTCGCGCTTGCGCGATCAGCAGGCAACAAACTATTCTAATATCAAAACGGGGAATGGAGTATTGTTATACAGTACCGCCAGGTGCCGAAGAACTGCGGGATCAGCCTCGTAGCCTGAACCGTTCTTTTAACATCCTATTTTCATGTATAGCAGCCTATGCCCAGTAGAGCAACCTTGCCTATATCGCTATGCTGTCCTTGGTGAAATTCTAGCCTGTCGATCTTCGGCACTATGTTCTTCGTCACCCGAGAGTGCTGTGTGCAAAGGAAAGTAGGTGAGCCTCACGTTGTATCACAAGACATTCTCTAAGTACATCTTCTTACCGGTGTGGTATCGTCTTACCGGTGTGGTATTGCGTAACTGCATGTACTTGATACACTCAGTGTCAACGTTCACATCACCAAAGTGAAGAGTCTGCAGGTTTGTACCGAAATGCACGGCGTCAGATGCACCCTCTCCACCAATGTCGGGAATCAGCCGTGGCATTTTACCTACAGCAACATGAAAGGGAATGATCAGTCACCATGATCGCATTGCCCCACTCTCGCGGGGGAAGTCATTGAGCAAAACCAAAGAGTATGAACTAGACCAGTCACAGACAGAACCAAACAAGTCCGACGACATTCCAACGTGATAGCACTGCAGTTATACTATCTAGGCAGACAAGATGAAAGGGAGTGATCAACTCTTATCATCGTCCTCTTATAACGCTGAAAGCCAGTAAGAAAGACTCCCAACCATCCTCTCGTAGCCCAAATCCCGTTGGCATGTCATTGAGCAGTCACCCTTGGAGTTGGGGCGATATATACAGGCTCGCATCCTGCGTCGCTTGGTCCGCCACCACTAGGACAGCAGTAAAAGGTGCTTGCTACCAATCAGCTATCCTCACGTAAAATCAAACCCCATGTATTACAGTAGATGTACTGATACAGTGACACCTTGTTAAGAAGACAACCTTTCACTTTAGAAGAACTAGTAGTCATACCTCTATGCCGTGTAGCCACTGGGTATAACATAATATTTATGGATATGAAGAATTCTCGTTGTTGCGAACAAATACCATCAGTCCCGTCGTGTTCGTCCTAAACAGGTGTGACTGATGGTCAGATATCACCGCTCTGTGTGTGTGTGTGGGGGGGGGGGGGGGGCATGCATGCGTGCGTGCGTGTGTGTGTGTGTGTGTGTGTGTGTGTGTGTGTGTGTCTGTCTCTGACTTACCCACACCATGTAGGTCTAGCTGTGTGTAACCCTTGAAGTCCGTATCAGAACTGTTCACGGTGAAACGGCAGTAGGTAGTCTCGTTGAATGCAAGTGCCTCC